GGGTGGGGAGGAGAGATGGGTGTCCGTGAATGTAGTTGCTATCCTTGGCACTTAAGGAAAAGGGAATGGGCAAAAAGTCACCTCACCCATAGGAACTACAGTGAGCAAAGGAAGAGGAGCATGCAGAAGCCAAACAGTGTCGGCGGTCTGCTCCGTGGATATAAGTTTGGAATGTGAGGCTGGAGAGATGGCTCAGTGGGTAAAGAACACTTAATGCTCAAGGAGGACTCTGCTTTGCTTGGTTTGGTTCCCAGGCACCTCACAATCACCAGTTACTCCAGGTTCTCATGCCCTGTCTGACCTCTAATGGCACCTGCACAGAGGTGTTGCACTTACACACTCACTCAGGCACACACACACACACACACACACACACACACACAAACAAATCTTTAGGATTGAAATGTTATATGGGTAATGCCTATTTACATCCTTTTAATTGTTTCAGTCTACACGGTTATATATGTTCTTTGTACATATTTTTAAGATATATAAGATTTTCTTCATGTTAATTTGTATATTTATACAAAAGAAGCTTTATTTTAAAAACCTAATTACCTAAATGAGGACTGCAGAAAATGCTGTAAGGATTTAGCAGTCTGTTTCCACCTCTGTCACAGCTCTGCAGACAGGATGTGAGATCTGAGTGGATAAAGCACCATGCTAGGCTTCAAAAGACAACACTCCTGTGGCCCTGTTCAACTCCTCCATATAGCAAACCAGTCAAGCTCATTGGCTTAAGCTGGGCCTTGAAACATTGACATCAGTAGGAAACTTAAATACTGAAGAGAGCAAATTATAAGCTAGGTTTAATTTTTTTTTTAAGTGGAAATGTTTCAGACATATTTAAGAAAACAAGAAGAGGCTGGAGGATGTCTCTAGTTAATAGCATTGACTACTCTTCCAAAGGTCCTGAGTTCAATTCCCAGAACCCACAGTGTTAGCATTCTATCTAAATTCCACCCCCACAGTTACCTGGCAATAGCCAGGTAGGCCTGGCCCACTATACAGGGGGCTGCTTGCCCCCTCCTCTAGCAGGATTCTTAATCTGCTACGTTGTATTTGCAGTGGAGCTCGGTGATTAGGCAGTAGAAGAGGAGGTGGAGCTGGGAGAGAAAGAAAGGTGAGAGGAAGAGGAAGGGAGAAATAGAGGAGGGGGAGGAGAAGGAGGCTATCAGCCATGGAGAACCATGGATGGGTTGAACAATATCCTGGGTAGCAACTTCTATCAAAAGGTAAGCTATGCTCTTCCTTTTCTCTTTGCCTCCGCCATCTCCCCTGCTTCTCTCTCCCACTCCCCGCCCTAAATAAGCCCCCTCCTGTGGGAAAAAAAAGGTAAGCTATTGGGTAACAACTCTTAATTGTGTGGGCATCTTGTTGATTGAGCATTTCTAAATATATAAATCCCTTAGATAATCATTAAGCTTTAAGAGTCTCATTTCTACCAGGTACTGCCAGGATGGCAAATATTGTCTGGGGTTCAGCAGAGCTTTGTGGATGCAGCGTGGGAGAGCCATCCCCCATGCTGGCGTCTCGTGGGTGCCAGGGCCTGCCTATCTAGCTAGCCAGAGCCCTGGTCAGAGCTGAGGAGCTGCAGGAACATGGTGGCTACCTGGGAACAAGCTGAACAGGGCACCATTTTCTAAATATCTCCCCTACACCCTCTTCTCTCTTGCTCTCCTGCTCTCTTGCCTTCTTGCTCCCACTCTGTCACCTTGCCCTTTCCCCTTCCCCCTCTCTCCAGGTGCTCATGGCTGGCCTCTACTTCTCTTTCCCTCCCCTCCCCTCCTCTGCCTCTCTCTGCTTCTACTACCCTCTTAATTTGCCTCCCCATTTCCTGAATAAACTGTATTCTATACTATACCGTCTGTGTGGCTGGTCCCTTGGGAAAGAGATGCCTCGGCACGGGCCCGCTGAGACATCCCCTTCCCCCATACCTCTACATACACCCACAGAACATATCCCCCATCACTTTTATCTTTTTATAAACACATCACACGTGATAGGACCATCTGTAATGAGATATGATTACCTCTTTTGGTGTGTGTGTGAAGACAGAGTAGTCATACATAAATATTTTTTAAAAAGGAAAACAAGTATAATGTTTAGTCTGAAAAAAATGTGATTATGGATGCATTATTTAAGTATAATGAACAAGTTGCTTCTATCTCAGACAGTGCAAGAAATGGACAGGTCTCAAAGTTCTTAGAAGCAAATACCAAAGGCATGGTTCAGGGATTGAAGAACAGGAAGGAGGAAGAGGGAAAAAAGCAGGGAGGTGGTGGCTCACACCTTTAGTCTCCCTACTTAGGAGGCAGAGGCAGGCAGATTTCTGAATTCAGAGTTAAAGGCCAGCCTGGTCTACAGTTCGAGGACAACTAAAGCTACACAGAGAAATGCTGTCTCAAAAAACCAAAGAGAGATAATTTACTTTCATGTACGTGTACAACCTGTGTGCCTGGTACCCACAGGGTAAAGAAGATGATGTTGGATTCCTTGGGACTGGAATTACCAAGAGTTGTGAAACTGCCATGTGAGTGCTGGGTATCGAACCTGGATCCTCTGGAAGAGTACCTGTTGTGCCCAGATCACAAAAACATCCCAGAGACCACCAGGAACCACAACTCCAATGCAAGCACATGAGAGTCTTTATTCAAGCTCAACCTAGGGCCACAAACCTTCCTGATGCAACAGGATAGGAGAGTGGTCCTGAGGTCTAGGGGAAGAGGATTTATGAAGGGAAAAACATACAAGGGAAGGGGGTTTCCAAGTCTTGGCATTACATGAGAGGGTAAAGGAATTTTGGTCTTTAAGCTAATTGGTTTACAGCACCTGGTTAAACCACAAGGAGGGAGCCTACATCAAAAAGGAGGATCTTGACCTGGGAAAGACTTATGTTTTCTTAGCCCACTCTGTTATCAGCTAGCTGCAGCTATTGTGTCTATTTTGTAACTGCCAGGACAGTTCATGATTTTTCCCAGACCTCAAGGATAAGGGCCATGTCTCTCTAAGGGCAAGTTAACTTAGATGGAGACTTAAAAGTAGAATGGAGTTTATTCTGCTTCTTTAGTCCCTTCTCACCGTGCACTGTTGTCTCGCCAGCCTCCGGAGATTTGCCTTGAATACTGAGTCACATCAAAGTCTCAGATGTGAGAAAGCAAGAAACAGTACTGTGTGTCTGTCCACTTCTAGTTAACACACAGTAGGAGATTTGCCCCAGGATGACACATTTGTATTTATACTAAGACATACTAAGGGTCCCATCAGCTGTCTACAATTATACTGTCAGTAAAAAAAAAAAAAGTAATATTAACTTCAAACCAGAAAAATAGTTTTAAAACAAAAAGGTACAGGAGTGAGAACATTCCTGAAGGCCTCTTTGGTTGAACCGTTTAGGCCAAAATTTTAGCAATGCTACTTTCTCAATACCTTTATTTTATCAAATTGACCTTAATACAAAAATACAATAAAATATAGATTTAACTATGATTATTTAAGGATCACTGTCAGTCATGGTGGCACACCTGACAGGTGAAATTACTTCAGTTATTGTCTGCTATATAGAGAGTGGAGGCCAGCCCTGACTACACAAAATCCTGTTTTACAGTGTGTGTGTGTGTGTGTGTGTGTGTGTGTGTGTACTTTACCCCTCAAGGAAAAAATATCATTGTGTCTTGTATTCTAGTTATTTCTGTATCTATCCTCAACTACTTTACAACATAGTGCTGTTCGTGTGCTGGAAAATCACATTTTATACTAATGGCTGGAAATTAATAATCACAAGAATCCCCGATATCTGGGGGTTGGGGGAGGAGGGAAGACAGCAGGGAAGGATCCTCAGGAAAAGCCAGAAGAATGAAGCATGGAGCAGCCACACAAAGTTTCTTGACACATTTATTCACTTAAGGTCCATGGATAAAACAAAAAGAAAAAAAAAACTCAAAAGCCTCCCTCCCCCAAGAAAAATTAGTTCTCAAAGTGCTCCTTGTAAAGGTGATTTTTAGTGTAACTGTAAGATGCACTTGACAATCAGATTTGCTGACTGAGGAACTAGTTGCTGGGAAGTACCGCAAACAGTCAAGGCTGAATCTCTTTAAATGCTATAATTACAGTAACATAAAACCATAGACTCAACCACCAGAATGATTTAAATATGGTCCTTTTCTGGAGTATGCACTCAGTAAGACACAAAAGACTAACAGCATTGGAAAACGTATGCTGCCGGGCAGTGGTGGCACACGCCTTTAATCCCAGCACTTGGGAGGCAGAGGCAGGTGGATTTCTGAGTTCGAGGCCAGCCTGGTCTACAGAGTGAGTTCCAGGACAGCCAGGGCTATACAGAGAGCATGTCTCGAAAAACAAACAAAAAAAAAAACAAAAAACAAACCAAAAAACCCGGATGCGGTGTGTCAACAGAAAAAAAAGGAGAAAAGCAGATTCTGCCTTAGAGGGATGGGACTGGCAGGCATTGATTAAGCAACTGCTATATCCCAGGCGTCTCAGGAAGGCATGGGATGACAAAAGGAGCATTTAGAGCTGTAGACGGGAGAACGCTGCCCTCTCCTCGCTAGAGGCCACTTTAGTCACATCTTTTGGGCTAGCGTGGGTGGGCTCTTCTTCCTCCTCTTCCACACTTGTGCACATGCTGTTCTCGGGGAAACAGCGTTCTCTCAAAAGCACTCTCAGAGGCACGCGCAGAGAGGCAGGGAGGGAGAACGGCGAGCTGCAGGGCAACCGCATCTCCTCGTCCTGTAGAGGGTCCTCAACCGCTCCGCACAGACAGCGTTTGCGGAAAAGCGCGATCGCATCAAAGTTGTCCACAGAGCTGGAGCAGAATAACGGCAGAAAGCAGAGGCGCCCAGGTCAGCGAGGGGGCGGGGCGACAGCGCCGGCCCCGCCCCGGATGTTCCCGTGCTCTGATTGGCTCCGGCGGCCACGCGCTCCCGGCCCGCAGCTTAAGGCTTTAGGTGGGTGTTGCGGCCTGCGGCGAGTGACGGGCGCGCAACCGCCTGAGGTGGATCGCTGTGGCGGATGCTGCGGGCCGCTCGCTCTTCGCCGGCCTGCGCAGGTACCTTCACCCGCACTGAGTGCGGGGCCTGATGGCGAGTCCCGAGTGTCGGCGGCGCCTGTGCCCTCCGCTCGCTCCCACAGTCCTGCGTGAGGAGATGGGGACGTCTCAGCCCCGCAGCCCTCAGCGCGGCATCCCCGCGGTCTTGCGGCCTCGAGCGCCGCGCCAGCTCCAAGGGCCGGGACGCGGGCGTGCATCCCGGAGGGGGACGAGAGCTGGCGGCGCGGGGCGACAGGAGGGACTCATGGCAGGCTGAGGAGACCCGCCTTGCGGCCCCGGCAGGTGGCGCGGGGTGCACGGTGGGGACCGAGGCTCTGCCTCACGGGGCTGAGGGGATTTGAGTCCTGCTGCTTTGTCCCGTGTCCCACGCCCCTACCCCGAGTCGCACGGGGTATGGAGTTCTGAGCTGCCGTGTCTCATCGCGACACCCTTAGCCAGTCTCTCCGAAAGTACGAAAGTTCTCGTGCCTATTTGTCCCCAGTCGCCAGGGATTGGCTGTTAGACTTTCATATAGAAAAACTATTTCTATTTTATGACCCTGTCGCCAGACGCAGAGAGAACTTTCTTCCAATGATTACAAAATTCAGGCGTATTTGCAAAACAAACAAAAGAACTCCAAACCTCACAATCATCGCCTTTATGAATTTTGCTATGATTTTTCAAATGTTGGGTAGAAGGCATGCACGTGAATTGAAGGATCTTTACCTTGTGCTGTGTGACTTTTTCCTTGAGGTGAAAGCCAGTATCTGCTCACCCTAGACAGGGAATCAATGACAGACCAAGTAGGGATTCCACCCAAGTCCTGTTTGCTGAAGCCCGAGGTGAGGGCTTACTGACAGGAGGCTGTATGACTAAAGTTGCATCACTGAAAAGCCCACCCAGCACTGGTGATGACTGAGAACACTGCCCGTGCAGACTGCTCTCCCCAGCAGGCCTTACTGCTTTAGAACCTTGGAGAGGGGGCTGGTGAATCTTGTGAGTTGTTTTTCTGAGCCTTGTTTTGTTTTCTTCGTGAGTCTTAAGCAGCTTCCCTTTAGGACAGAATATGTCTTGTTTGGAGAAAATTACATAGCTTCTCTCATTTCACCTTTCACTCTTTCTCTTGAGAAATGCCCCAACCTTTAACTTGTTCTTTTTTTCTTTCCTCTTTCTACAGCAGAACTCTTACTCTTTGATGCATCTAATAAAAGAGCTAAATTAAAAAGATAACCGCAAAGTAGAATTTTACATGGGCTGTAGTTTTTCTTTGTAAGCTCTTAACTGCACAACTTTGATTCAGTCTTTATTAACTTCAGTGAATTTGGGACATTCCCTTTTCCTGTTTTCCCAAATCTTAGATGAAATAATCTGACACAGGACATTTGCATTTTCTCATTTACCTATAGTTTCAATATAAACACATTGTTTGAAAGTCACTTACCGCCGGGCAGTGGTGGCTCACGCCTTTAATCCCAGCACCTGGGAGGCAGAGGCAGGTGGATTTCTGAGATTGAGGCCAACCTGGTCTACAGAGTGAGTTCCAGGACAGCCAGGGCTTCACAGAGAAACCCTGTCTCGAAAAACCAAAAAGAAAGGAAGGAAGGAAAGAAGGAAGGAAGGAAGGAAGGAAGGAAGGAAGGAAGGAAGGAAGGAAGGAAGGAAGGAAGGAAGGAAAAGAAAGTCACTTACCATTGAGTAATACTTAGCTCCTGGAAAATGTATCACATTATTCTGTATTCTGGTATGCCCTACCTCTGAACCTAGCCCTGCCCTGCTCCATTTGAGAAGCTTAATGACTGTTTGGGTTTTGTTGTTGTTGTTGTTGTTGTTGTTGTTGTTGTTGTTGTTTCCCCCAGAAAAAAGATAGATGAAGGAATCAAAAGACAAGAAATAATTGTAGAACTAATTACAATTTCGTTGTCTATTTTGTTTGGTTTTGAGATAGAGTCTCTATATGTTGTCCAGGCTGATCTCAGACTAAAGATACAGCTGTGGCTATAGGTGCTATGGCTAGCTGTCCTCTGCTTAGTTCATTCTCTCTCCCTCCGTCCCTCCTTTCTTCGCTCCTTCCCTTTCTACACATACCACTTGCATTCCTGCTGCCTTCCAAGGCCAGGAAAAGGCATTGAATCCCCTGGAACTGGAGTTAGATGCTTATGAACCACTGTGTGCGTGTTGAGAACCAAACTTGGTTCTGTGGAAGACTGGCAAGTGCTCTTAACCATTGAGTCATCTTTCTAGGCCCTCTGCCTAGTTCTTTATAATCTAACCCTACACTGGTTAATACTGTAGCCACTAGCTATATGTGACCATTAAACACTCGAATTTGTTTGGGTACAACAGAAAAGTTCAATTTTTACTTAATTTAAATATAAAATGAAAGGAGTGTAAATATTATCCTATATAATTTTTTGTTATTGTTGTTTTTTTTTTTCAAGACAGGGTTTTTCTGTATAGCAGCCCTGGCTGTCCTGGAACTCAGTTTGTAGACCAGGCTGGCCTTGAACTCACAGAGAGCTCCTGCTTCTGCTTCCCAAGTTCTGGGGTCAAAGGTATGTGCCATCACTGCTCAGCACTACTTCATTTTTATAGGATTATATTTCAGACTACTTAGTAATTAGCATCAAAACTGAGATATGTATAAAGTATTAAAATATACCAGACTTAAATGATTTAGGAAATAAATATTTCATTAATATTTATATTGATTAGATGTTAAAATTATATGTTAGATTTGTTGCATTAGATATATCAAAGTTAACTTCCTTTTTTTCTAGCACTGAGGATTGAGCCCAACTCTTGGGTGTGCTAAACAAGTGGCTATAGTTCCAGCCCTCATAGAGCACTGGCTGCTTTTTTAGGTGATCTAGATTCAATTTCCAGCACACACATTGTGCTCAGAACTGTCTGCCACTCCAGTTCCAGCACATCTGACATTCTCATACAGACATGTGCAAGCAAAATACCAATGCACATAAGACAAAAATAAATACAAAATCTAAAACTATGGATGTGACTCTCAGATTGGACAGTATTGATAGTATCCAGCTAGTTTTTATATTGGGTATAGCCTCACCTCCAGCAGGGAAGTTTTAGAGTCAGGAGAGAAAATCTGTACATAGTTCTTTGAATGCCAAGAGCAGTGTGGCTGCCTGGGTCACTGTGAGTCATGGATTCAGAGGCTCTCATTAGGATCTTGGAGTTGTTCCTCAATTTGTTCATCCCTCAATTCTTTATTATTATAGAAACAATTTGACCAAAAAGTAATATTAATCGTAATAATATTCACTTGTCACCACAAAATTCCAAATAGTAATAATCACTCATATTGTTGAGTAATGACAGGTAAATTTCAGTCATTCAGATAGGATGGTAACAACTTTAAAAATTAGGTTAATTTAGATCTAGGCATGGTGGTACATAGATTTAAACCCAGATTAAGGAAGCAGAAGCATGCAGATCTCTTATGAGTTTGAGGCCAACCTAGTCTGTCTAATTAGTTCCAGATCAGCTAAGTACTACATATTGAGGCCCTATCTCACCAACACCACCCCCCAACATCAATTCACAGAAACTCTACAAAGCACATGTGCCATTTATTTGCTAAAACTTTTCAGAAAATACCAGTAACTGCTTATTGAATATGGAAACGTTGTGACCAAGGAAAACTTACTAGGAAAAAAGGAAGACCACAAAAAAAAAAAAGAATAAAAAAGTTTCAGATTTGATTTTTGAGTTCTAGAATAACCAAAGCAAAATGGAACAGGAGAGAGTATACCATTTACCCAGAGGAAGCATAGCATTTCTGAACACTGTGTTAGAACTAACATTTTAATAGCAAAATCAACATTTTATATGACTGCATCTGATAGTATCCAGTTAGTTTTTATATAGAAATGCATGAATGTGATCAATAATTTTGTATTTTTATTTTTATAGGAATCTTGAGAAGCTAAAATGCGGCATAATCAGATGTGTTGTGAGACACCACCTACTGTCACTGTTCATGTAAAATCAGGTTCAAATAGGTCACATCAAACTAGGAAACCTATTAGTCTGAAGCGTCCTATTCTTAAAGATAGTTGGCAAGCATCTGAAAAAAATGCACATAATAACAAATCTAAGCGGCCCAGAGGGCCTTGTCTAATTATACAGCGTCAGGAAATGACTGCTTTCTTTAAATTATTTGGTAGGTGTAAAACATTTTATTAGTCTAGCATTCTTAAATATCAGAATGTAAATCTTTTTTGTCAGTTTTTTACAGTGTATTTATTTGCGGGGTGGGGGAGTGCACACATGCAGCATGTTTGCGGAGGTCAGAGGACAACTTGCTGTGAGTAGGTTCTCTCCTTCCATCATGTACATCCCAGGGATTGGACACAGGTTGTCAAGCCTGGTGGTAAGTGCTTTTGTCCACCAAGCCATCTTGCCAGCCCTCTTTTGTCATTTTATAATGAAAATATTCAAATTGACCTAACTGTTTAGGTTATTTAAATCTAAATGTCAAGTGTATATTTTGAGCAATTCAGGAAACAAGTTTTGTTTGACCTAAAAGAGTATAGAGATTCAGATGAGGTACCAACCCAATTTGACTATGCCAGAAGGTGTTTTCCAAGATTTTTATAGCTAAAACAAAGCAAAATAGGAATATCAATCAATCTAGAAAGTTTCAGTCTTATTTTTTGGAATATTGTTAAAAAGTAAGAACATTTATCAACATGTTCATACAATGAACTTGAAATTGAATTTTCATTATATAAGACTACTTTGTTTATATATTTATTAACAGACAAATAGAGACTTCTTTGTAGTATTTATATCAGACAAGAAAGGAGCCTTTTTCTGCAGGCATGGCAGCAAGGTAGACACTAGAATAAGGGATAGTGTTGATGTTTCCTGATGAGACATCAAACCATACCACAAAACCCACAGACCTCCTGTTTATAGAAGAAGGTTATGTGCATGCAAGCAAACTTGGTAAGATATAAAGAATATGAAGATTAAAAGATGACATAAAATATATAAGGAATATAAACAAGTTATAAAGATTTCCCCGTCAGAATATAAAATGTTTCCATTTTTCCTTATTAAGAAGAAAACAGAATTATTACCTAAAAACTTTCCTTTACTCCTCCTACTTTGTTCTAAAAAGGGTCTCACATGTGCCAGGCTAGCCTTAAACTCTTTATGTAGTCAAGGATAACAATGAATTTCTAATCTCCCTCCCTTGACCTGTCAAATACTGGGATCACAGGCAAGCCAAATTCCTTTTGTTGGCCATCTCCAGCCCTTATCCGCAAACTTTTTGAGTACTCCTCACTGACCTGAGAAAATAACTGATTCTACCATTTTAGCTAACTTGTGAAATAGAAACAGAATTAACAAAACTAATTCTCAGAAAATCAATAGTTATTCCTAGAATTTCCAAATATTAATTACAATGTTATAATTTATAACATGCAAAATGAATATAAAAAACTTTTTGACTTGTTAATAAAATGAAGAGGATTTTCTTATATTCTGATAGTTTTCAACATATTTTAAGATTATCTATTTTAATGCTTTCAAATCAAAACAAGAGTTGTTTTTGTTTTGATATGTTGGTCTTTGTTGTGTTTTCTTTTTTGAGACAGAGTCTCACCATATAGCATATAGGCTTACTCCAGACTAGCCTTGAACTCACAGAGGTCTGCCTGCCTCTGCTTCCCAAGTGCTGGAATTAAAGGCTTGCACCCCCACTCTGGGGTAGACATTATTCTTGATTTTGTTGATCTTTCTATCCTAATCAATTTTCTTAAAATTCTAATTATAAGTCTAGGTAAAAGTTGAAGTTATTTATATCCAAATGTTTATATTTTTGTTTGAATAATAAGTAGACTAGAAAGGAAATAGGAAGAAAGGGTTTTCCCTCCCCCCCAAAAATCCTGGACCTTGAAAGGAGAAAATAATAGAAAAATGATACCCTTAGAACAGTATTAAGTTATTTTTTTCTTCAAAGATGAATTATCTTGCACCAGATTGCATTTCTGCCTCTTAAAATTGATACTACAAAAGAACGAAGAGCTGGAGTACCTAACATCTTGTTGGATACTCAGGAAAAAAATATATTATTCTCCTTTAAAGCTGAGTATATACATAATAAAGTGAATCAGATGGGAAATGCATAGTCCTTGCAATGATAAATATACTAAAAAAAACTGACAATTATACTGTAGCAACCATTTTTGTTTAATTTCTAAACATTACTTTAAAATGTCCCTATTTAGAAATTATTTCTTCAAAAGGAAACATTTTTTAAGAAGATAAGTCAAAGTTATCTTTTGTTATAGATGACGATTTAATTCAAGATTTCTTGTGGATGGACTGCTGCTGCAAAATTGCAGACAAGGTAAACTGGAAATAGTGATGGTTATAATCATAAACCATCATTGTTATGTTACTAGACCATTAAAATTTTTATAGATACAATAAGAATTTTCTCCTTCACTACAGTTAGAAAAATAGCTAGTCTATGTTCTTCCTTCACAGCAAAATTCTTTTGTTATCCGTGTGTGTGTGTGTGTGTGTGTGTGTGTGTGTCTATATCTGTCACAGCATGTATGCCATAGCCAGTATATGAAGGTCAGAAGACAATTTATAGACAGAGTTGGTTCTCTCCTTCCATCATGTGGGACCCTAGGAATTGAACTCAAATCATCAGGCTTTTTAGCATGTGCCACTGAGCCATCTCACTGTCCCCTAAAGCAGATTTCTTACACTTAATTTTTACCACATCTATCTGGAAATAAGAATCAATAGAGACTCCATACTTTGGTGGGGGAAGTGCAAGGATACAGTTTCACTCCAGCCTCACCTTATCTCAGCCTCCTAAGAGCTAGGATAACAGAGGTATACTATGCTCCGTGATTAGAATTACTACCTTTAATTAGTATGGAGAAAAAATTCTTGAAACTCACTCCATTAAGGCAGTCTCCTGTTAAGTTTGAGTATTTTATAAGTAAATTATACAAAAATTCTAATTGTCTTTTTAAACAATTTTATTACTATTTCAATAGGCATTAAGTTGCTGTTGCTATAACAGTATAAATAATCTCTTATTCCATGTTAGCTTTTTCACTGCTAGATAGATAACAGCCATAGATCAGCGTTGTCACATTTTTTGAGAAACACAGACAAATGAAAACTGAGAACTGCTTTATAAAACAAATGGCTTATGGGGTGGAAAATAGATTAGCAGTTAAAAGCACTTGCTCTTCCAGAGAATTTAAGTTTGCTTCTTAGCACCCATATCTAGCTGCTTACAACTACCTGTAACTCCAGCTCCTAGAGGGCATGTGTACACACACAGACACACACACACACACACATAATTTAAAATATTTAAAAAATAATGGCTCATTCTCTTCTTGGTTAGTATACAAAGAAATGAATTTCATTGTGACATTTTGATTCGTGTATCATTACTCTTTTTTTTTTTCACTGAGACAGGTTTAACTATGTAACACTGGCTGGCCTAATACTTTCTGTGTAGACTTGAACTCGAAGTTATTTACCTGCCTCTGCCTCCAGAGTGATGGGATTAAAGGAATGTGTCATGATGCCCATCTACTTTAATTTTATTCATACTGGTCACTCATCATCTTCCTGGTAATCTTACAGGCTAAAATTAGCTTAACATGTTTTCCATTAGATACTGGAATCCCATAAACTGCCTAATATATTAGGAATAGTGATGGTAAATGTTTTTCTGTGGACTTATTTCAATATTTGTTTCTATGGTTTTTGTTTGTTTGTTTGTTTGTTTGTTTTTTGTTTTTCGAGATAGGGTTTCTCTGTGTAGCCCTGGCTGTCCTGGAACTCACTCTGTAGACCAGGCTGGCCTCGAACTCAGAAATCCGCCTGCCTCTGCCTCCCAATGTTTCTGTGTTTTTAAGTCAGCTAAATAGTTGTCATTTTGCTTTTGTAGATATCCATTTAGACTGGGCAGTCACACATTAAGTTCAATAACAGTTAAAATATAAATAAAAAATAAAGGAATGTTCAGAAGATTAGTTTGATTTTATACTAATGTCAAAATGAAGGATTTTATTTCATACTTAAATATAACAAACATAAAAATGTTTAATTTTTTTTTTTTTTGGTTTGGTTTGGTTTTTGGTTTTTCGAGACAGAGTTTCTCTGTATAGCCCTGGCAGTCTGGAACTCACTCTGTAGACCAAGCTGGCCTCGAACTCAGAAATCCACCTGCCTCTGCCTCCCAAGTGCTGGGATTAAAACCATGTGCCACTACCGCCCGGCTAATTTTTTTTTTTTTTTTAATTTGGGAGGCTGGAGAATTTTCTAGTGGTTAAGAGCACTTTTTGTTTTTCCAGAGGACCCGAGTTCAGTTTCCAGTATCCATATCAAATAACCCATATGACTATAACTCCAGCTCCAGGGTAGCTGATGTCTTCTGGCTTCCTCAAGCATCTATACTCATGTGCACACACGTGTGTGCATGTACACACACACATGATTTAAAACTAAAATATTTTTAAAAAATTAAATATTCTGGAAACTTAAAAAAAAACTTTAATGTATTTGGGTGTTTAGCTTGTATGTATGTCTGTACATCACTTGCATGCCTGGTGTCTTTGAAGGCCAGAAAAGATTGTCAAATCCCCAAGAACTGGGGTTATAGACAGTTATGAGCCACCATGTGGGTGCTGAGAATCAAATTCCATGTCCTCTGGAAGAATAGACAGTGCTGTTAGTTAATGACTGAGGCATTTCTGCAGCCTCTGGAAACTAACTTAGAAAAATTAAAAGCACATACAACATAAAATAAAACCAGAGATCTTCTATGTGGCTCTTAAAAATAATCAATGTGACTATTCTTGTTTCTTCTCTGGAATGTGAATTATTTTGAGGTAAATCTGAAGCATGCTAACATTTTATCATAAACATTTGATAATTGATGCTGGTGGGATACATACAACTGCATCAGCTGGTAAAGGTGCCTGACACCAAGCCTGATGACTGAGTTGATCCCAAGATTCACACGGTGGGAGGAGAGAATGGAACAGACTTCCATTGTTTTCTGATTGCCACACCTGACATATAACATACATACATAAAGATATATAGATACGTGTAAAACTATATCTCCAACAATGTAATTTTTAAAAAACAACGAAAGCATTACTTTTCAAATAAAGAGTAATCATATAAGCAAATACTCAAGTTTCTTTAGAGTTGTATAACATTATGGTTTAAGGTGTTTAATTTTGGGTTTACAGCAGGGGGCAGTGTTTGAAAAGTAACTAACTTAGAATACTCTATTTCAAAAATTCTTTACTCAGAAATGAAGGGATCCCCTGGAATCATCTTGTTGTGCAATGCCCTTACAAGATAGTGAACAAGTGTGAGAGAGAAAAAAACATATTCATATTATAACTTGTTTCAAATTTGAGCCATTTTATCTTGGAATATGTTCTAGTAAGTTAATTGTATGTCTTTGTAATAAGATATTTAAAATGTGTTTTCTCAATGAAAATTAGGCCTTGCTATACAGTTTTAAAACAAACTATTGGTGAATCTAGGTGAAAGATATTTGGCTACTCATTGAACTATTTCAACTTCTTTATAAGTTTGAAATTTAAGATAGAAAAAAATTAGAGTTATAGTTTTAAAATTCACCAGCTATAATTTAGAAATCCTCCTAGCTAAATATAATAAATTATTGGTAACGATTTCTTGCACTATTCAAGTGGATTAACTACAGGGGTCAAAAAATAAGTACTCAGGTGATTGTATACAGATAAATAGTGCGTTAAGATTTAAAGTCAACTATTTTATAGCAGTTTTATTAGTGAAAGCAAACCACTAATACTAATTTCTAACTTTTTCTTGTAGTATCTTTTGGCTATGACCTTTGTTTATTTCAAGAGAGCTAAATTTACTATAAATGAGCATACCAGGATAAATTTCTTTATTGCTCTGTAAGTATGCTTTCTACTAAATAAATTTTATTGGTTATTTTAATATATGTGATTTGTAATTTAAAGCAGAAATGTTAAACTTTTATGGATGTTGTTAATAGGCCTTCTTGTGTATGAAAATTATGTATTTTTCACTTTAATAGGATAGTTTTATGTCCTTTTCATTGGCCTTATATTACATGCCAGAGTTTTGTTGTTCCCACTTCAGGTTACATTGTGTCTTTTACATTTTACACACACAGAGACACAGATTCACACACACACACGTACACACAGATGCACGCGCACACACACACACACATCGGGACTTTTTGTTTTGTTTTTTAAAACGGTTTCTCAATATAGTCCTGGTTGTCCTGGAACTCACTTTGTAGTCCAGGCTGGCATTGAACTCACAGAAATCCACATACCTCTGCTTCCTGAGTGCTGATTAATGGTGTGTGCCACCACATCCAGCAAGTTATATTTTTTTAAAAAACAAAACAAAACAGACTATTCTATTTTAAATTTCGTTAGTATGTAATAAAACCATCATCATAATTTTATAATGTGAGCCCTTGTGGAAAATGTTTTGCATATATTCTTTGTAGGTCTATATCTAAAAGATTACTATTATTATTACTAGTTATACATATTTAATACTTTTGTGTTTACTGATGGTGTCATCAAACACTAAATGTTGTTTATTTTCCATATCACATAATTAGTGATAGCTTTGCTATCTGTTAAATTGTTTTAATGATGTGTCTTTCTAATTTATAGGTCATTATTTAGTTAGGAAAAATATAATTTTAGGGCTGGAGATAAAACTCAGTGGTAGAATTTTTGCCTAGTATGCACTAAGCTCTGGGGTCACAGGGTTTCTTTGTATAGACCTGACTGTCCTGGAACCCGTTCTTTAGACCAGTCTGGCCTTGAATTCAGAGAACTACCAGCCTCTGTCTGCTGAGTGCTGGGATTAAAGATGTGCACCACCACCGCTTGGCTTCATTCAACACTGCTTTTGTTTTTGTTTTTGTTTTAAAAAAAAGGTGGTGGTGGGGGGAGAAAGCTTAAATTTAAGAATGCATTTTGGAGGCTGGAGAGATGGCTCAGTAGTTAAGAGCACTGACTGCTCTTCCAGAAGTCCCGAGTTCAATTCCCAACAACCACATGGTGGCTCACAACCATCTGTAATGGGATCTGGTGCCCTCTTCTGGTGTGTCTGAAGAGAGCGATGGTGGTATATGTATAAAATAAGTAAATAAATCATTAAAAAATTTAAAGAATACACTTTGGAAGTTGTGGTGTGCCAGGAAATAGAATGTTTCCCTTATATGCATGAAGCCTTGGGTCAGTTACTAGCAACTCCCCATCCCCAACCAAAAGGACAGAGAATATGCTTTGTCTACCCTATTCTTGGGTACAACAATACAGCTAGAATGTATGTACATAATTTCAAGTGTTAAATTAGGGAACTATGTAAAAGCATTATAGTATTGGTGGCTAGAGAGATTTGTTCAGCCTTTAAGGTGGCTGCTCTTCTCGAGGACTGGGGTTCAGTTCCTAGTACAACCATCAGATCCAGGGAATCTGATGCTCTCTTCTGGGCTTTGTGGGCACTAGGCACACACATGGTTCACAGATACACATGTAGGCATAACACTCAAACACATAAAAATGAATAAATATAAAAAACACATTGGAGTATCACAGTAACTGTCAGCACTGAGGGGTAAGTTTTTACTCAACATCTATTTAATTCAGAATCAGAGTTAGTAAATAAATCAGACCAGAAGAGCTTGATCTATGATTAATTAGAGAGATATTTTCCAGAACATAGGAAAAATGAGCCGAATTTAACATTTGGTGTTGATTAGTAAAATGGAAGAATTTAATAGTTACATATAACTCAATGTTATATGTAAATCACCACATCTTATATATTTATACATTTAATTTTCTTGGGTTTTGTTTTTTGTTTCTTTGAGACAAGATTTCTCTGTGTGTAGCTATGCCTGTCCTAGAACTCCTGTAGACCAGGCTGGCCTCACAGCCACAAAGATCCACTTGCCTCTTCCTCCAGAGTGCTGAAAGTCGTGCACTACCACTGCCCAGCACATTTAGGCTTCTTATGAAATGCATTTCTTATTTCTGCTTTAGAGGCAAGGAAACACTTTGACTTTATAGACAGTAAAGCACTTTGAAGGTCAGGGAAATTAGTAAGGAGACCAGGTATTGTGGCATACACCTATACTCCCGACACTTAGGAAGCCGAGGTGGGAGGATCATGAGTGTGAGGCCAGCCTGGGCAAGAAAAACAGCAGAGATGCAAATGCATGTATTATATCCCCAAGAGCCAAACTGAGCCTTAATACTGTTAATTTGCCATTTATATGTTTCAGTATTATACCATATTCACTATCATACTATTCTGTATTTTTTTCCATCTGAGAATTAAAGACAAGCCAAAATTGGCTTTAGTGCAAATCCACATAGAAGCCTGAAATTGGATTTATTTCACTTGTTTTGTGGTTATAGCCATTAAAGTGCTATGTAGCTTTTACTGTGTAGTTATCTTTTAAGACTGCATTGCATACTGTATATTATATATCAGGTAACCTGAATTATAACTCCCATCCTGTGTCTAATCACGTTTTCTGTAGACTGACTCAGTATCTCTTTTCATTAAGCATCTCTTGTTAGCCACAGTTCTAAACTCACAATTTCTATATAGTCATGTGATGTTTCCTTTAGTATTCTTGTAATACCCTGAATTTCTTTTTCTTCGTCTTTTTTTTTTAAATCTTTTGAAAAAAAAAAAAAAAAAGGCCGGGCGGTGGTGGCGCACACCTTTAATCCCAGCACTTGGGAGGCAGAGGCAGGCGAATTTCTGAGTTTGAGGCCAGCCTGGTCTACAGAGTGAGTTTCAGGACAGTCAGGGCTACACAGAGAAACCCTGTCTCGAAAAACCAAATAAATAAATAAATAAATAAATAAATAAATAAATAAATAAATCTTTTGAGACAAGGTATTTGTAGCTTAGGCCGGCCCCAAACTCCCTGTGTAGCCAAGGAGGATCTTGACCTGCTCCTCCTTCCTGCCTTTGCCTTCCAAATGCTGAGGTTACAGGCATGTGCCACCATGCCAGCAATACTGTTTCATCCTTCCACATCCTCTTCTAAGTTATTAGTTACACGCTTTGTTCTCCTTTACCTGGTTACTGAATGAGTTCAAATCCAGCCAAAGCAACTTAGAAAGACCTTTACTTAAAAGAAAAGGTAAAAAGAGGAATGGAATTAAATCGGTGGTAGAGCACTTGCTTGAGATCTTTAGCCAGAATTCTAGCTAACTTTAAAAATGCTGTTAGAATCTACTTGGGATTAGATGAGCTTCCTTGACGATATCTTTCAATTAAGAACCCTTAGAAAATTCTAGCTACTATCCTTCAAATTTTCCCCATCTCCTCTATTAACTTCCATTGAAATCCATTAAATATGCTGCTATATGCTGCATTCTGCTTTCCAACCCTGTTTAACAATTTGGAGGTATTTTGCACAAACACTGACAGATTTTAATGTGTATAGGTCTTTCTGTCTACGAATCTACACTCATAAATAAGAGGGCATGATAGCCGACTCCTGTAACACTCTCAGTATGTGGGAGGCTGAGGTAGAATGATCCTAGATCAAGGCCAGCTTGGACTACATAGGGAATTCCAGGCTTACTTGAGCTTTGTAGAAAGATCCTGGCTTAACCCACCTCCACACACCCACCACATGCACAGGCACATGCTTTAATCCCAGCACTCAGGAGATAGCGGCAGTCTCTGTGAGTTTGAGGCCAGCCTGGTCTACACAGCAAGTTCCAGGCATCCAAGACATCATAGTGAGACTTTGTCTAACAAACAAAAAGAACTAGAAAGAAAGAAACCTTTGTACACTATCTGCACCCTGGGCATCAAGGACATGAAGGAAAGGTATTACTAGGTGGTTTGAAGGAGTGAAGGTAGAGTCCTTGCCCTCTGCCCCGAGTGCTCCCTTTCCTTCTGAGTAGACATAGGATTCTGGGGAGGGGAGAATAAAGAGCTCCCAGGTTAGTGGTACAGGTAGTATATACAAAAGATCTTGCAGTCATGGCTCTAGTTAAGGAACTATAGTATGGTTTGGTGTCACCGCTGCAGGGTAGCTTGTTGCTTGTATATCTTCAATAGGAAATTTAGAGCCATATATAAGCTCCATACTACTCAGGATGTGGCATAGGCAACGATGACTGTTTCTGGCCTTTTGCCTGGAGGATACAAAAGAAGCAGTTAGATTCACATGGATAGTTGATAGTACTCAATGAGTGGCAACCACCATGATGTTACACATTTTTTTTTGTTTTGTTTTTTTCCGAGACAGGGTTTCTCTGTGTAGCCCTGGCTGTCCTGGAACTCACTCTGTAGACCAGGCTGAAATTCAGAAATTTGCCTGCCTCTGCCTCCCAAGTGCTGGGATTAAAGGCGTGCACCACCACTGCCCAGCAATGTTACACATTTTTATATTTGTTTCTCTGAGCTACATTTTGGATATTTCTTTAAATTTATCTTCCATTACTAATTTGATCTTCATTATATTTGTTATGCATTTTATATATACTATTTTAAATTTTTTTCAAATATATTTATTATTTTTACTAACTATTAGTTACTTTTATTTGTTTGAATATGTGACTATGTATATGTATGAGTTTATGTGCACCATTTACAGGCAGGTGCCTGGAAATGTCAGAAGAGGGTGTGAGATCCTCTGGGCTGGAGTTAAAGGTGTTACAAGATGGCAGATATGTGTACTGGGAACCGAAGCCAGGTCCTCCGCAAGAGCAGTAGTCACTCTTCACTGTGGAGCATCTCTCCAGCCCATATACAGGTGTTTTTGTAGTCTGCTTAAATTGTGGGTCCTGCTCTGCTCATGATGATGTCTTTCTTTCTTGTGTGTTTGGAATGTTTTTGTTGTAAAAGTGACCCATGGAGCCTGAACTGCTTCTGATTGGGAATCTCTCCCATTATTAACTTTATTCCTGTGTTAATATCTTGCCTCATTTTTGTTTTGTGGAACAGGGTCTCATGTGGCCCAGGCTAGACTCAAACTTACTATATAGTTGAGGATAGCTTTGAACTCATGAGTCTTCTGTCTGGACTCCTCAAGCCCTGGGATTAGAGATGTGTGCCAACATACTAGTTTAATGTGTCTTTCTTTTCTGACTGTTTTTAAAGGTTTTTTTTCAGTGCTTTTGAGCAATTCAGCTATGATGTGCCATCGTATAATTTTCATGTGATTTCTTGTTTCTTACTCATTTCTTATTCAACTACAAGTACAGTCTCAATTTAAATACTTTTTTGAGCATATAGGATAGTTATAGTAAGAGGCTGGAGAGATGGCTCAGGGGTTAAGATCCCTGGCTGCTCTTCCAGAGGACCTGGGTTCAATTTCCAGCACCACCCACATGACAGCTCACATCTGTCTAAAATTCCAGTTCTAGAAGATCTGACATCCTCAAAGAGAAACACATGCAGGCAAAACACCAACAAACATAAAATAAGAATAAATTATTATATTAAAAATTGTTATAAATGTTTTGATATCCTCCTATATATCAGTTTTGGGTTGGTTTTGAAAGATTATTCTCCTTATCACGGTTTGTATTTTTTCTGCTTCTTTTTATATCTGGTCCCCCTCAAGTATTTGGCAAAATACTGACTTCCAAATGTGTATGAGAGAACTGTTTGAAGGTAGCCCAAGAGAAGATTGAAAAAAAGAGAGTGCCTTGCAGTCATTCACATAGAACTATAAACAGTTTTCCTCAGCCAGGGTAAAAAGCAAAGTCTTGCCTTGGGAAGGAGCTAATTAGGTCCAGATTGAACATTGTTTACAGATTCATCTATGAAGTCAGAAAAACATCAAAAGAGATTGTTTCAAGGTAACTTACTTGCATCCCAGAACAAAGTTCAACATTTATAGGACTACAGAAACACCTAGAAGGTGCAACAAGATATATAGGTCATTGTATCACTGCTTTTGTTATGTATTTTAGATATGAGTATCCTTTATGTATTGATAAGTCTTTCATATTTCTATTTTTATTATCTATTGTTCTTGCCCTTACCATTTCTTCTTCGGGTTGTTGATTCACTTTGTTAGGTATCTGGCTAATACAGTTGAAGAAGATGAAGAAGAAGCCAAGTATGAAATTTTTCCATGGGCTTTAGGGAAAAACTGGAGAAAATTGTTCCCTAATTTCTTAAAGTTAAGGGACCAGCTCTGGGACAGAATTGACTATAGGGCTATTGTAAGCCGGCGATGCTGTGAAGAGGTACATGTTTAAAATCACTTTTATAATCTATCTTTGTTTATCTCATTTTCCGGCTTATTTATTTATTTATTTGGTTTTGTTTTGTTTCTTTCTTCCTTATTTGGGGATAGATTCCTACAAGTAGCCCAGCCTGCCTAGGAACTCACAGTACTATTTTGTCCCCTTCAGTTTTAGGATAAAAGTATATCATGTCACTATGGCCTCCCTACTTAGTTTTTAATGATCTGTCTTTCTCTTTGTACATGTAGGAGATCATTAGCCTCAGTCGTTATTATGAGTGCAACTTATATATTCTGTTTCTGTTTGAATTTTATCACATTTATTAAAAATTGTATCTATTTTTCAGAGCAGACTACTTCTATACTATTCTTATTGTAGTCCCACCCCCTGCCCCATCTAAAAGATCACCAGTATCCTAGCAAAAGATTTGTGGACATACTAAAGCATCTAATTATTATAAAACTAGAGTTGAATAATAATTTCCACGAAAGTATATGAATTTTCAAGTTTCCAACATTGACACTAACAGCATGGTTATATAAATTAAATATATTTAAAATCCATACCTCTTTTCTCAAAGAATATATTGTTTTGCAAGAAGTTGAGGTCTCATGAATTCTCCCAGTAACCCTTGCATTTTTCCTCTTTCTGTAAGTGGCCAGACACTTCTGAAGATGGTCTGCTACTCTCTTGGCCCAGAAAACCCTATAAAGTCATCATGCAAATCAGGTTCATATCTTCCTTACTTTAAGAACACCCATTAAACTCAAATTTCATTTGAGACAAGGCTTCTATAGCCCTGGCTGTCCTGGAACTGTCTATGTAGACTAGGCTAGCTCACAGAGATCATACTGTCTTTGTCTTCCAAAGGATGAGACTAAAGGTATGTACCTTCATTCTCATCACATTGTTTTCTTAATGTCAGAGTTTATTAAGATAGTTTTACTTATAAGTAAGTTATTTTAACCAAATGTTTTTATTAGTATTTTAAACAACAAAAGTTATAGAGTAAAATTAAGTGGAAGCAATAACTATTGTCAACTCTTGTATTACTGTTTCAGAACTTTGAGAAATGTAAACTAGATAAATCTGTAATTAAATTCTACTCAGTTAAATAACCATAGAGCAAAGGAGTCAAAACTGAAGGATTCATTTCAAACTTGAATAAAGACTTTAGCTGCATGTCACAGAATTTTCCCCAGAATTAACCTTGTTAATTATATTTGTAAATGAGAGAAGATACAACAATTTTGCATATTTTAATTTGAATTATTGACTCTTGGAGGAAATGCAAGGATTCAGAAATAACAGAAGACAGAAAGTAAAAGAAAGACTATATAGCAGGCCAAGACTATACAAAGTTAAATCCAATGGGAAAAGATGAAAGGTTGCATATACAAGGGCTCTAAAAGTACTGTACTGTCATTCAAACTGAACTCAGTCCAGTTACATGATAGTGAAAGAACCCTGTAACTTAGGTCTCTATTTCTGTTTGTTTGTTTGTTTTGTTTTGTTTTTCGAGACAGGATTTCTCTGTATAGTCCTGGCTGTCCTGGAACTCACTCTGTAGACCAGGCTGGCCTAGAACTCAGAAATCCACCTGCCTCTGCCTCCCAAGTGCTGGGATTAAAGGCGTGTGCCACCACTGCCCAGCTAAGTCTCTTATTTCTTGTATGCCTTTTTTATATCTCTACTTGGGTTAATATTGTGGTCCATTTCTGTAATCTCAATACTCAGGAGACTGAGGCAGGGGGAATCTCAAGTTCAGGGTCAACCTGGATTATAGTTGAGACTATAGTTGAGACCCTGTCTCAAGAAGAATAAAAAATGACAATTACATAGAAATTTGCCAACCTCAAGAGTGACAGAGGGCCATATTTAAACACTCTCATTTTGTCCACGTACATACTATTCTGCTTCTGTTCTCTTCCATTCGCTTTAGAACTACGATGTAAACCCTTTTCTCTATTGTTCAACAGAACTTTGTCAAAGCCTCCTGATAGCTTTATGTTGCCAAAGCATAGGTTAGCTTTTAGTTTTTAGTCTTCAACTTATCAGCATCTGCATTACATATGTAGCCAGTCAAGCTACATATGTAATTTCTTTGCTACACTGCCTTTCTGTGCTTTTCCAAATATTGGGATTGATATATTCCCAATATCAAACCCCAATATAAGGATTTTCCCACTTCTTCTTCTTCTTCTTTTTTTTTTTTTGTTTTGTTTTTTGAGACAGGGTTTCTCTGTGTAGCCCTGGCTGTCCTGGAACTCACTCAATAGACCAAGCTAGCCTTGAACTCAGAAATCTGCCTGCCTCTGTCTCCCAAATGCTGGGATTAAAGGCGTGCGCCACCACCGCCGGCTGGGTTTTCCCACTTCTTTTTCAACTCCCTTTCATCTCACCAGCCTTATTAAGGTGTCTGAGAGCTCAGTCCTTTTCTTGCCTTGACTGGAATTAACTTAGTAATGATCTTGTGCATTCTCCATACATTAACTATGAGGGACTAGAGAGATGGCTCAGCAGTTTAAAACCACTTCCTAGTCATCCGGAAGACCAGAGTTCAGTTCCTGGCATCGGTATCTGGCAGCTCACAACCACCTGTGACTCTAACTGCTAGGAATTCTAGCTCCTAGGAATGGTCCCTACAGACATGTGCATGTACTCTTACACATAAAAATATTTTCAGAAGACTTTAACATAGATATCTAAAAGTATCTCCTAAGTCCAGATCTGCATATCAGATTGCTTGTTTATTCCATTGTCTGATTGAACCCTCAAACTTGCCATGTGTAAAATTCTATTCCTGATTCCTCCACACAGACCAACAAACTTGCTTTTTTTACAGTCTTCTATATGTTAATAAAAAGCAGCTCCATCCTTCCAGTTGCTCATGTCACAAAACTGTGTCTTTGGCTTGTTTCTTACCCCTTATATCCTTGCCTTCAAAACTATTCAGGGGGCTGAAGAGATGTTTAAATGGTTAAAAGCAGGGCTGCTCTTCCAGAGGCTCCTAGTTCAATTTCATGGCTTCTTACAACTGTCTGTAACTCCAGTTTCTGGGGATCTAATGTCTACGTCTGACCTATGTGGGCACCAGACACTAGACATACAAGTGGTACAGGCATACATGCAGCCAAAACACCCTTACACATAAAAAATAAAATTTAAATTTATAGACTCTAGCCTCCTACCTCTATCACTGGTTGCCTTAATTGTTGTTATAACTTTGCAAACAGTCTCTCCCGAACATAGAATGTACCTTAGTAGTAGACTGTTTGTCAAGCATGCACAAAGCCTTGGGTTCAATCCCTAGTACCTTAAAACAAAAGCAACAAAGAGTTTCATAATCCCCCCTCATAGGCTGTTCTTTATATAACTGTGAAAGTAATCATTTGTTAAGCTTCCGTACAGTAAGGTTTTTTTAAAATTGTATTTGTACAGGTATATTACCAACATGTATATCTACACCACATGCAAACCTGGTCCCCACAGACCCCAGAAGAGGGCATCAGAACTCCTGGGACTAGAGTTGTAGACTATTTAGAGCCACCAGGTGGGTGCTGGGAATGAAACTCAGGGCTCCTGGAAGACCAGTTAAGTGCTCTTAAACACCAAGCCATCTCTCCAGTCCCTACACAAGGAAATCTTTTTCAAGACTTCTTTTTAAAAGTTCTAAGTAGCTTCCCACTTTTTATAGGATATAAGTCAACTTTAACCTTACCATGGTATGCACCTCCTTTATCATATCTCTGACCTTGCTTATCCATTGTGTTCTTTTCTTTTTTCTCTTTTCTTTTTTTTCTTTTTTTTTTTTTTGTTTTGTTTGTTTGTTGAGACAGGGTTTCCCTGTGTAGCCCTGGCTGTCCTGGAACTCACTCTGTAGACCAGGCTGGCCTCGAACTCAGAAATCCACCTGCCTCTGCCTCCCAAGTGCTGGGATTAAAGGCCTGCACCACAACTCCTGGCCCTTTCTTTATCTTTTTGTTGGCATGGGGATCTTTGCACTGGTCATTCTCTATGGCAGCCCTAAGTGTGGCTGACACACGCAGTGACACTCAACTGGAGAAAAATGACCCCTTTTCTCTCAGGAAGCATCAACTGCAAGGATCCTCTTGGTTGGAGGTGGGATTTTGTGTCTATCTTTACCTCTGAGTGCTGGAATTTTGTCTGGCTTGAACCCATGTAGGTTTGAATACTTGGAGGCTAAGAAGTAAGATATGTTGTTAGAAATTAAGCATCCTATACATTGGTTACCAAAATCCTGGTACTAACATACTGTCAGTCAAAATAATCTTTAGTCTTATATTCTAAAATTAAGTTAAACTGGGATAGTAGCTACCAATGTGCTTATAATAGTAATATGTATTTGCATAGTATTTGTGGTATTCAAATTCATAGTATTTGAATTAGTATTGCCCTCCATAGGCTAATAAGTTTGAACTTAGTCTCCAGTTAGTGAAAATATTTGGGAATGATTAGGAGGTGTGGTTGTTGGAGGAGGTGTGTCACTGGTATGTCATTGAGGTTTCTAAACCCAATGCAATTCCCAGTTAACCCTTACTGCCTAGTGCTAGTGGATCAAAGTGTGAATTCCTAGTTCCTGCTCTAGCACCTTTCTTGTCTGCCTGTGGCCATGATGGTCATGGACTCTGTCCCTCTGCAACTATGAGCCCCAAATCGAACACTTTTTTTGGGTTGCTTTGTTCATAATGTTTTATTACAGCAATAGGAAAGAAACTAAGACCATATTATGACTCAATCTGCATTGTTTATCCTCACAAAGATATCTCTGAGGATGGAGGTATTTTTCCTTTATAGCTGATGACACTGCAGGCCCAAGGATATTAGGATTTACTTGAGCACATACAAAGAAGTACCAGAGCCACATCTTGACTGGCTGCATATGCAATGACTTCCTGCTGTTCTGTTTTGTCTGATATCTAGCTTTTATATAAACTTTTCAATAGTACTGGCATCTCCAATACGCTGAGGTCTTCTGCTGCAACTAGGCTTCACCAATAGCCTTCATATCTCTTCATGGTGCCAAGCCTCAAATCCTTTTCGTAACCCCTTCAGTCCTGGGCCAGCAACTGCAGCTGAAGCTGTACCTTCACCAGTGCCCTGCCTTGGCCTCTCATAGTGCCAAGCCTCAGCTGCTCTTCATGACCCCTTCATGCCTTCAAAACCAGTGCCACCTGGGTGACTCTTACACGTTACCAAGTACAGCTGCAGCACAAGGTACAGCCTTGACTATCTCTAGAATACAGCTTCTTTGTGCTCTCAGAAAACACTTCCCAGAAGATTTCACCTCAATAATGCTTGTCCCGCCGGGCGGTGGTGGCGCACGCCTTTAATCCCAGCACTTGGGAGGCAGAGGCAGGTGGATTTCTGAGTTCGAGGCCAGCCTGGTCTACAGAGTGAGTTCCAGGACAGCCAGGGCTACA